GGGAAAGTTTTTTTTTTTTTTAAAAATTTTTGAAAAAAAAAAAAAAAAAAAAAAAAAAAATGTTTTCGTACATACTTTATTTATGTTCAGAGATGACAAAATTCAAGTAAATCTGTTTTATTTTCATCTCCACCTTTGTAGAAAATTAGGAAGGCAGGTGGTTAAAATGTTACTGATTAGTTCATTTTTATGGAACTTCTGCCTCAACTTTGTTTTAAAAATAATTTCCACAGTTGCACAGAGTAATAAAACAATGTGTTTCTTATAGATACAATGCTATTGAGACACAAGATGTTACAAAAGAGTGTTTGAAGTACACGTTTGTGGTCTCTGATGACTACCTTTCTTATTTATATGTTGCATTCAGCTTAATGATAATTTAGATGTATGTACACAGATTCATAACAGCTGCATTATAATTGAATTTTTACTGCAAAATGAGAAAAGCAACCCATCTGTACTTCTGAAGTTGGCATGCAGTTTTATAACGATGTGCGCAGGTTGTAACGCACTAGGTACTTTGTCATAAGTCTATATAACGGCTGAATATTGCCATGTAACAGTATCATGCACAAAACATGTTCATAAACTATTGCTGCAGAGATTATTGTTGCCAAGCTTGTTAAATGTCCTGTCTTTATTGAAACTTTATGTTCTGTTCCTGTGTTCACAAGAGCCCATTTCTGAACCCTTTCCCTAGTCAACTGAATCCAGTACACACCGTTACACCCTACTTCGTAAGACCCATTTCAGTATTGTCCTCCTGTTGCATAAGATTTCCTTTATGCTTTTCAGATTTAAATGTTACGTACATTTATCTTGCCCATGTATGTTACATGTTCCATCTATATTATCCTTGATTTAATCACCCCAATAATATTTAGTAAAGATAAAAGTTACAATGTATAAAGTGAAGCTTCTGCGGTGACTGAAGTTGATTAAGGCTTTGCCCGGGATGTTCTTTTGTTAAATCTTATGTGGTACCGCCTGATTCGACTTCTAATGGTTAAGTGAAGTGTTTTCTTCGCGGTACGGTCTGGATTCGTAAATATTATGAAGACGAGCTTCGGCTTCAAAGGGTTAACCAGCTGATTTTCGTAATGGTGAGGTGTAGTGTTTTCTTCGCGGTACGGACTGAATTCTTAAATAATATTCAGACGATCTTCGGCTTCAAAGGGTTAAAGACTCCCGGGCCAGTTCCCAGCAGCGAGAGCGTAACAAAGGATCGGAATGGTTACCAAGCAACCCTGAGGATGAGACCAGAGATTGTTCTCGAAACGTTGGCAGAAGATGTGGTTTATTCACCGTTCAGCCACCTGACGCGGCTTGTAACCCGAGAATCCTTCATCAGGAAATTTTCTAATTTCTTTGTCATGTAATTCATTCCATACGATCTCTTAGGTGCAAATATTATTCTCAGTTAATGGTTGATTTCCATGTTTACATGAGCCTGGCACTGGTCCTTATCCTCAGCCAGTTAATGTATTTCACACCCTCCATCCGTATGTTCCTAAGATCCGCTCTAATAACGTCTGCCATCTATGCCTGAGTTTACTTAGTGGTCTCTTCC